GACAGAGCTGGTTAGGCCCATACATTCAGCAACAGGTAGACCCAGGGCAAAACCCTATTTGAACCTGCACTCAGAAAACATGGCAGAGAACAGGGGAAGCCCAGAGTTTTGAGTTGCACAGGCGGAGCAAGTTACAGGGATAATCATGCCAACAACACTAATGAGTTGCCAAGAGTAATTAATGACATAAAGTCATTTTCTGTCCCTTCTCCCTCATCCTCTCCTTGAACAGGGGCTGTTTCCCTTGTGTAGGGCCAGCACAGGCCCAGCTCCCCCCCAGCTTCTGGAAGAGCATCTGGAACCTGCCTTGCTGTCTGAGGCAGAGGTGGCTAAGGGGCCTCTAGCTACTGTCCCTGTGGTTTCACAGAGCCATGTTGCCAAAGTAGAAGAGCCATGATGCCAGACTAGAAGAGACTTGCCCATCATCTCAATGAACTCCATATTTGACAGATAAAGAACCTAGGGGTCAGAGAGGCTTAAGGGATACAGGGCTCATCACATGCTGAGACAGGGCTAGTACCCAGGACACTTTGAAATTCTCCTCTGGCCTTCTTACTCCAGAGTCTTCCCACTGCCCTGGCCGGGGTGAGGAGAGGGTCTGCCATGCAGATTAGCCTCCATTCTCTGTAGACACTGGCTCTGGGGAAAAGCCCCGACCTCCATGGCAGGAGGCCTATGAGGTGCTAGCAGGATCAGGCTGAAGCCCATGAGGAAGTGTCTCTGCTGGGGGCTGCCTCTTTTTAGAGTTCCCTGAGCCCTGGAAGGCAGGCAGGCAGGCTGGGGGGAGAGTGGGCTCCCCTTGCTGGGTGGTGAGTCCCTCCTAGCATGGCTTGGGTCAAACTCACAGTTCCACATTCTGGGAGGTGTGCACGTCCATGGGTGGGCCGGGGGTGGCGGGCAGAGACTGAGGAAGTGGCTGGCTAATTAGCTGTGTATCCATTCCTGCAGAATCTCTGCCATTTCCTCTTACATCCTCAGCTTGTCAAGCCCAGTGAGTCAGCGTCTTTCTCCTGCCATGGGCCTAGGGCAGGGCCAAGCCCTCTCTACTCTCTGGGTGTCAGTGGGTGGTGCTGGCATGTGTGGTGATTATTGTGGGCCCTCTCATCTCTATCAATTAGAAAACTTTCCTCAGAAGATACTACAGTGTCTGGGAGGAAGGCAGGGCACAGTACAAGGTCCATTTTACAGATGAGGAAACTGAGGCTCAGAGAGGCCCAATGGCTCATCTAATCCTGCAGCTCCTAAGCCTCATGCTCTTCCCATGCTACTAATGGTCCTCCTGATTTAAGATTTCCTCAGCCCCTTTGAAGCAATTATCCCACACCAGTTCACGAAACGCAGGGGTGGGGGCAGCTGCCAAGGGTAAAAAATTGGAACTGGCACAGAAAGGACAGTGACAGCCTCTTCTCTAATAGAGGCCTACTCGCCCCAGGTTTCCTGCCACTTCCCTGGCAGAGTCCCTGGTGCAGGGATGAAGGGAGGACAGACACATATCCATAGCTCAGAGGGCCCCACAGCCTATAGAACTGAGGAGGGGAGCCTCAGCCTTATTTAGTCTAATTGACCTGGCTCTTTAGATGCAGAACCTCAGCTGGATTCAGAAGAATGGGGCTTCTAAATGGGAATCCCCCTGTGGACGGATGGGCACTAGCTTAGGCAGACAGAAATGGTCTCTAAGAGATGACTGACAGAAGGTACTGATGAGGAGGTAAGAAAATAGCCACAGAAAGAGAAGCAGCCACTTCATAGGGAGGCCTCTCTTTCAAGACCCAGGCACCCAAGACCACAGGGCTAACCTGATTAATGGCAGACTCATTGCAGGCTTCCAAAACCTGCTGAGTGGGCAGAGAGGAAAGCTGGCCTGCTGCCCCAGCACAGCAGACAGCACGCGCTCACACGCACTTCCTTATCCCAGGAACCCAGGGAGGGAAACGTCATGTTCTTTTATAGGCCAACAAACTGCTACCACAGGCTCTCAGTCTGAACCTTGAGCGGCCTCCAGGTCCAGGAGGAGGACATGTAGAATGATGATAGCAGGATCTCCTGGGCCAAGAGGCTTGCTGCCCAGTCCTAGAGGGAGAGTACCCTGGGCCCTGGCAGGGAGATACTGCTTCCAGGATTACAACTTCCCGGACACAGGCTTGTCTGTCCCTGTCTGGGAATATGTGAGAGGACATCCCCAAGGAGGAGGAACATAGGTGTACCACAGTTGTCAAAGAATAGGATTGGACTAAAGTCCTGAGGCCTGAGTTCTAGGTCCCATTCTGACACCAACCAGTTGAATCACAAAAAGTCTCTTGAAGCCTTCCCTATATAAATGGTAGAGACTATGTTTCTAGAATGTCTAAACATCCCCCAAATGACTAGCGAAGTATCCTGTCTCATCTTCCATGGGTGGTCAACAGCATGCATTTTTGAGCCAGATCATGTTGGTGTAACTATAAACTCTGCAAGTAATTTAATCTTTTTGTGCCTCAGTTTCCCTCTCCAGGGGTCATGAGTATATCTGCCTGATTGGGAGGTTATGAGAATTCTCTGAGTTCACACGTGAATGGCAGCCAGAGTAGGGCCTGGCGCATGGTAGGCAGGTGCTCTGTGTATTAGCTGGTTACATTGCTGAGCACATGTCCGTCTGTACCTGGCAAAAATTCCAGGTCAGATTTTGAATATAAACTTCATTCAAGGTGTACAAGGCTGCTTTCCCATGTTCTCTGAAAGTGTCCTTCTCATGGTTGGGCCTTAAAACACTGTTCAGGCTCCAATTCTGGGGTTCATTGGGGTAGGAGGGTTCTGAGTGGCCCCATACCCACTATAAGGCAGAGGACAGGACCAAAGATTAGGTCTCCCACCTGGGAGCCTTTTTCATGACTCCCAGGCAGCCTCCAAGGGCAATGCCTCCTGGGGTTGAAGTTTTCCTGGCTTCTTACCTGAGCTGTTTAAGGAAGGAGCTGAATCAGCGCAGTTTACCCCACTAGTAACTGGCAATCTGGACTCTCCTTAGGGACGGCAGCTCTGGCAAACATAGCTGCTCTGTAAGCACCTGACCAAGGCCTTGCCTGGTGTGACAGACAGAATGAAAGACTTGTTCTGCTGTGCCAGATCCTAAGATGGGAGCCCTCCGTTCTTCACAAGACACAGTTGACCAAAGGTGAATTGGAGAAATAGGTGGGCTCCACTCAGGGTTCCACTGCCTCTTCCCTCTGTCTGGGGAAGGGAGGATACTGTGGCTGCCATGTTTACACATCTGGTTCCTCCACTTCAGATTCTAAACATCTCAAAGGAAGGGACCTGGCCAATATAGTGGCTCACACCTGTAATCCTGGCACTCTGAGAGGCCTAAGGCAGGAGGATCAGTTGAGGTCAGGAGTTCAAGAACAACCTGAACAAAATGAGATCCTGCCTCTGCTAAAAACAGAAAAATTAGCCGGTATGGCAGTATGCACCTGTAGTCCCAGCCTATTTGGAAGGCTGAGGCAGGAGGATCACTTGAATCCAGAGTTTGAGGTTACTGTGAGCTAGGCTGATGCCATGGCACTCTAACCTGGGGTAAGAGAATGAGATTCTGTAAAAAAAAAAAAGGGGGGGGGAAGGACTTTCTCTTGTTCACTTCTTTTTTATTTTATTTTATTTATTTTATTTATTTTTTGCAGTTTTTGGCCGGGGCTGGGTTTGAAGCTGCCTCCTCCAGTATATGGGGATGCTGCCCTCTTATTCACTTCTGTCCCCTTCCTTCATACATGTACATGTCTGATGAATTAAACTGAATGCTTCTTTCTCAGACCTCCCTGCTGAGGCCCCTCTCACATCATGATGGAGAGTGCTAAATATAAATCTTGTGGACATAAATCCTCAGAAACGAGTAATAAATGACCACTCCCCTCAAAAGTTTCCCAGTTTCTCAACTGTGGTGCCTGACAGAAAACCCAGGGATCTGAATCTTCTGTTGAAGTCACTGCACTGACTCTGCCTTGCTCTGGAGCAGAGGTTCTCAACCTGTGCGTCGTGACCCACAGGAACTATATTAAAGGGTTGAGACATTAGGAAGGTTGAGAACCACTGCATCTGAAGCCTGCCAGGGCCTAGGTGGAAGTGAGGTCTAATTGGGAGATGGCCACTGCCTGCTGTTGTCCATGTGTACCTTGGAATCACACCAGAGTCAGGCTCTGGGCACTGGAGCTGTTAGAAAGTGAACAGAGGCTCGGCGTCTGTGGCTCAAGTGGCTAAGGCGCCAGCCACATACACCTAAGGTGGCAGGTTCGAATCCCCAGCCCGGGCCCGCCAAACAACAATGACGGCTGCAACCAAAAAATGGCCAGGTGTTGTGGCGGGCGCCTGTGGTCCCAGCTACTTGGGAGGCTGAGACAGGAGACTCGATTGAGCCTAGGAGTTGGAGGTTACTGTGAGCTGTGATGCCACAGCACTCTACCCAGGGGGATAGCTTGAGGCTCCATCTCAAAAAAAAAAAAAAAAAAAAAAAAGAAAGTGAACAGAAGGTCCTGCCCTGAGGTAGGGGCAGAGAAAGAGGCAAAGCTGCCACTAGGAGCCCGCAGCTCTGCCCATGACAGAGAGGAAGCTATGCTCCATCCCTCAGCCTTATGACTGCCCTGGGGACTGTCCTTACCATCTCACTCCCATACCTTAAGGCTAAAATGCCCACCAGTCCTCCCTGTCTGGGTTAATGATCCTTCTTTTCTCCCCTCCCAGCCAGAAACCAGGAGTGGTCCTTGTCTCTTGACCCTGTCTGTGGTGGGTCAGGCCTTGTTGCTTCATTCTGCATCAGGTCTCTGCCACCTGTCCCTTCCTCATTACCACCTCCCAGTTCCCCTCTAGGGGAACTGCTGTGCAGCAGCAGCCTTGAAGCAGTTTTCCCTACACTAAGACACTTCCTGTGGATCACCAGATTAATCACCTTGCATTTTTCTTTTTCAATCCTATCACTTTCATCAGGGCATCCCCCAGCTCAAAAGCACTTCTCTGATCATGAGACAAAATCCAGCCTAGGCATTTGGTGCTGGTTACAATCGACTTCGATCTGGACTTTCGGTTCCCGTGTTCAGTCTCCCCCACTTAGAAATCCCACCTAAACTTTAAGGTATGCTCTAACCCCTCCTCCATGACAGACCCATAGGGCATCCTCTTCTCTACCTTATACCCTTTTCACGCTCACTGATCACCACTACTGTAGCTCATGTGCACAGAACAGGGGCCTCCCTCGCTGACTCTCAGCTCCTGGAGGAGGGTGCTCAGGTTCTGACGCCGGGACTGGAAGAGCGGAGGACAGGAACTTGTCCAACTCTCCGTTTAAGGATGAGGAAACTGAGGCGCCGAGACAGAGGGGTGACAGCAAATCAATGTCTAGGCTCACATCCCTCAGCCTGGGGTACGGCCCTACTCCACATTTCCCAGACCTCGCAGGCCTTGGGTGGTCATAAAGCACGCAAACCGACCGGAGCGAGTGAGAGAGCCGGTGAAGTCAGGAAAGCAAAGCGGAGAAGAGGGGTGACGGAGAAGGTGCGCGAGGTCGCCAGCTCCCGCAGGCCCAGCAGAGCCTCCTCCCGGCCAGGCCCAGACTCACTTTGCTGAGAGCGTGTTGATGGAGCCAGTGACCAGCATGAGCCCGGCCAGGAACAACTGGTACTTGGTCCAGGCCATGACAGCGGGGGCAGGCACTCCTTTGAGCTTGCAGGTACCAACCCGGTCACCCGGGTGTCGGACTTGAGCGCTTCCGGGCCGGGTGTCACGTGACCCACACTGGCCCCGCCCTCCGGAGTGTGCCTGGATTTAAAGAGGTTGAGCGGACCGTATCAGAGACAATCCCCGAGGTGGAAACCGCGGAAATCTCCTTTCTATAGGGTCCTCAGGAAACTCCGGGAAGGCCTGGGAGGTGTTCCTAGGGAACACAGCCTGCTGAGTTGCTCACATGTTCCGGCAAAGTGGCATAGAAATTTAGTTCCTGCTGCCAACGAGACCGTTTTGTAACAGAGAATGGCCCGAAAAAGGGTAAAAATGTATTCTGTCTCTTTAAAATCCCTTCACCCTTTTGGAAAACTAAAACCTGCATCCCTGCCTCAGGCCAGTTGTCGGGAGGGGTTGGGGAGTGTCCTTTGTTCGTTGTACCTCAGCAGATGGCTCTACTGGAATTGTCTCTGCAGAGGTCCGCAAAGGTATAGGTCTTCGGATGTCCTGGAAGGGGGAGCTTCTTCGCCCAAGATTGTCTTCTTCCATCAGGACCATCAACAATAGTTAAGACAGCCTGAAGCTGAAACTTCCCCTTTAAAAGCAATGTATGTGCTAATGCCGCGATCCTTTAATACAGTACTTGTGGGTTGCAGCCCACAGATTTGAGAACCGCTGGTAGAAGAC